TGCTGGTGTGAATATTCTTCACTAAGATATAAATCATCCTACCAGACAATTAGCTTCACATCAAGCAACACTAATTCCACAGGACAAGATCCTTACTCAGGAAGACATGAAAATGAAGAAGAAATACTACTGCGATGACTCATCAGATCACCTGCTCGTGCTAAAATCCCATGATCTATAATGAATGTTTTGTACTATAATAAAGACAGTGGATATGACCTGAGGGAAGCAAAAGAGTTTTCCTTTACTTTGCATTTTTTTTCCAATGAAAAAAGAAAAAAGATATACACGAAGAACATATTAAGTCATAAGTCCCACACTTTAACACTACTAGTTCATGGTATGTTATATGTTTTATACAACTAAGTATTTTCCTTCAAAAATTAGATATTCTGGAGTAATTCCTGATATTTTTAAAGGAATCTCATTTTAGAGATAAGAATTACTGTCTTTTCAAAGTGCTAGAATTTTTATTACATTTTGAGTCTGTGACAACCAAACCTCTAGGTCTTTTTCATAAAAACTAATGTTAAACCAGAATTTTCCATGTGTTACTTATGTTTTACACAGGCCTTTAATATTTACACTGGCTAAATTTTTATCTTTCTGTCTTTAGAGTTTTATTCTGCAAATTGAGATATAAATTTGAATCTTAATTCTGTCAACCCCTGAATTAGATATCCTTCCCAGGTCTTTTATTTTAGACATATACATAAAAACTCTATTCAAAAGAGTAATATGTTTTAGATGATAAATGATTTTTCCATCATCACAGATTATCATAATATATCATATATATGTATTTAAATACATTGAAAATGTCTTAAAGGATTTGCACAGATATAAATTGCTACTTTTGAGGAGGGAAGAAAGTTATCTGGGTGGAATGCGGGGTGTGTGGGTATGGGGTGTTGGACAAAGAGATTCTAGTCAAATCTATGATGTTCTAACTTTTTATAAGAAAAAGATAACCAGGTGTTACTTGTGTAATAAAAAAGGATTTTTCAGGGGCCGGCCCGGTAGCGCACTGCGCTAGTGCGCCACTTGGGAATTGCGGCGGCCCTCCCGCCGAGGGTTCGGATCCCACATACAGACCGGTTCCCGCTCACTGGC